GCAATAGCAGAGGCTGCGGCAGCCGAGCAGCAGCTACAACTGCAGCAGCACAAGCAACAAATAGAGCAGCAAGAACAACAACTCAAATCAGCACAAGCAGAGGCGTCGAAAAATGAGGCCGATATAAGAGCTCTCAAAGAAGTGCAGGAGCAACTGAAGGACGAGCTCAGGGTGCTGACTAATACCTTTAAGACTCTGTAGTTCGCCCATATATATATGACCTGAAATTCCACTCTGTAAAGGCCACCCTGGCACTTTTGCTGTTTTTTCTCTGTTGCTTCCCTTGCATTCTTGACAAACACCGCTGCCCCTACTGCTGGCGCTAATGCTGACGGCGCTTCTGCCACTGCTTCTGGTGTTGATGTGGCTGCAGCGGACCCAGGCTGAGTGCCAGCGGGCGCAGGCGGAGGGACGTATGGCAACAGTAAAACTGCAGCGGCAGCAGCGGGAGTGGCAGCGGCAGCGAGATGAACTGCATCTGCGTTTGAAGAATGGCATAGAACAGTTGCAAGCCGTTCTAGCTTCGGCAAGTCATGAGGACGCAGAGCTCCAGGCCATGTAAGGTGAATATGGTTTGGCGTAGGTAGTAGTGAAATAATTATGGCCAGCAGAGGCCAGATGAACACAACGCGTTGCGGCTCGGCAGGATGTCAATCACTTGCTGAGCTGAATTACCATTACCGACGTGGACACTTCTGCCCGGGGAACAGAATTGCTGGCTACTGGGTCCCCTCGGGAATTACAAAGGCAGGGGCTAGCTATAATATGTACGTAAGATAATATAACGGATGCTTCCGCGAGCTACTATTACGTAAATGCTAGGACAGCCAGTGCTGTGGCTAGCTCTCGTGGTCAAATGTGGTCAGTGCCGAGGTCCTGGAGGCAGCCGTACTGCAATTAAGAGACGACTGGGGCTTTATCCACCCGCATTGCGTGTCTGACGTTTCTATAGTGATGACGGTGGGGGGTCTGTGCAAAAAAGTGTCTTTCATAAGTCGGCAGACCCACACCAACTATTCAAGTTGCGCCCAATCCTGCCTAGCTAGTTGCATCTAGCTGCCTATATCTTCTTAAGTTGCCGTTAACTGCAGATAGCTTGTTAGTGCTGGTAGAAGTTTAACTGAGGCGATCTCTAACTGCATGTAGCCTCAAGTGAATATGCCACTCTGTTGGAAGACGTTGCTGCTTCCTCTGTACCCGACTTGTTCATATCATCTGAGGGTTCTTATGGATTGTTGCTAGTCCCTGTGATTACAGCGGTGGCGAAGTCTTGGGCAATGCAAAAACAGGTAGTTATTATGCTTGCAGAGGACAGGGCGCAACTTTCGCATGCATGGAGGCTAAATCTAAAATTATGAGCCTCAAAACGAGACAAACAGGGCAAACCCATAGAACAAGGAAACTGCTTTAAAGCAGATTCGAACGCTTCGAATTGGTTATCTAGCCCTGCACGATCATCTGGAAAGTGAGGGTTCGACCGCGCCTTTCACAGTCAGTGGAGTACTCTCGAAAAAGTTTTTATTGAGAGAATGTAGCGTCTTGCTTCTGCACTAATATGGGTCACAGCGTCCTCCCTGTGTGCCCTCCCTAAGCTCCCCGCGAAGCCGCCCTCATCTACGTCCTTTCCACTAGGCAAAAATAAGAGGCTTTTGCAATCATTAATAACCATGGCTATCGTTGTACGTATCACCCGTAAAATCAAGATTCTTTTTCTTGCCTGTGCAACTCCTTGCTCAATTGATTCGTGCGCTGTGGCGTATTTTTGACACTGTAGAGCGATGGTAGCGGTCAGTAAAACGTGAGAGAAGGATATAATGAACTGCACAAGTTCAAGACTTCAATTTTAAGAAACAGCTGCGGAAATAGTTGATGGGGCGGGGCAGTAGGAAAAAGGCGAGGCAACTAGCGATGTCTCGAGTGTTTTGGCAGGGGGAACGAGACACCGGATTGAAAGACTGGACTGGAATAAAAAGTGAATCTACTCGAATAATCAGATGGATATTTAAAAATACAATTGAAAATTAGGAAAAGAAAGTCCCAGTCATTGTGCTCTAAAGCGCTACTAGCTGAGTTGTAGGCCTCCTCCGCCCGATTGCAGTCGGCACCAGGGCAGGGCCCAAAACTAGAGTGTACGCATGAGAAAAAGAATCAAGAGCACTACTAAAATGTTGTTAAATGGTTTGAAATAATTTACAAATCAGCGTTTCACAAGATATAGGAAAGCAGTAGGCGCGTTGAGCTGTGGCCGACATCCCGAGACAGAGGCTGCTGTGACAGCAAGCTGTTTGTTTAGTGAGTTCGTCCTTAACTTGGGTCAAGAATAAAAGTAATGAATCAAATGAAGGGTTTTATTTGTTCTCGTAGCTGTTTAATGGCTATTTCCCCCCTCCCTTAAGCGGCTCCTTGCCGGTGCAGTCACGGCTGCCCCGCCGCTTCGGTGGGGCCTGCCGGGGTACCTCGAGTGTTTCTCTATAAGTCTTCGCTGCTCCCTCTTGATGTTTCTTTTCTTCTATTTGAAGCATGCAGTGCTCTTTCCATTGCAAGGACACGCGGGGCTGCTACAGGCGCCCTCAGAGTCGTCTACGGCCGTCCGAGGCCGACTGGCTTTAGGGGGGCCCCAAACGAAGATGCCTTGGAAGGGCCCCCGTTTGTCTTTTCGTTTTCCCCTTTCACTTTGTTTTCTTATTGTATTCCATTTTGTAGCATTAGTTGCTTCCAAAGGTCTCATTCTGCACCAAGACACACGGCCCGCTGCGAGCGCAGGCGGGGCCCCCAGTGGGGGCCCCCCTGGGGCCCCCTTCTCTTTTCGCCTTTACCACCCATTACTAGGAAGCCCAGACCACGCTGCTGCACTTAGAGGCTGTGGCTTTATTGCCAAGTCCCCCATAAGTTCCCCAGAGAGTGCTGTGGGGGCCCCACGGTGCACTTTAGGGGGGCCCCCCGTTGGGGGGGTGCCCACGGTATTTGCTGCTGGCAGGGCCCACCAGCGGGCACAAACTGCTGCTGCGCAGCCACAGCTACTTGGCAGCGGCCAACCTGCTGCACTTTGGCAGCAGAAGGGCCTGAGGCTCCCTCGCCGCGACTTTGGCTGTGGGAGACTGTGGGCTGGCCCTGCAGCAGCAGCAGCAGCAGCAGCGTCAGCAACGAGCGCAGAACGAGGAGCCGCTAAGGGAGTCGCTGCAGCAGCAGCAGCAGCAGCAAGACGAGCCCTCAGCTGCTGGGGGCCCCCCTTGTCTGCTGCTGCTGGAAAGGTCCTGAAGGGGCCCCGCCTTGTGTGGGGCGCTTTGTGTCGGCTGCCCCGCGCTGGCTCTGCAGGAGCAGAAAAAAGAGACACAATAGGACTGGCGAGGCATGTTGCTGCTGCTGCTGCTGCGTGGGCGTCAGCAAATGCTTTTCTGCCGTCCCCGTAGAACCTCGTCTGAGCGGCTGCTGCAGCTGCTGCAGCTGCTGCTCTTTGCTGCTGCTGGGGTTGTTGGTGCTGCTAATGTGTGAGGTGGTGCGTTTATTGCTGCTGCTGCTTGTGCGTCTGCTGCTGCCGCTGCTGCTGCTGCTGCTGCTTGCGCTGCAGGCTGCTGAAGGAGTTGAGGTCCACGTTGTCGCTGCAGCTGTTGGCTCCTGCTGCTGCTCTGTCTCTTGTTGCTGCTGCTGCTTCCTTTGCCCGCTCCTACTTGCTGGGACGTGTCTTCGACTGTGCTGCTGCTCTTGCTTACAAAGAGGGTACAGCAGATGGGGGGCCCCCTCTTCAAGGGGCCTCTGACCTCCTTCTTATGGAGGGGGGGGGCCCCCTAGGGGCCCCTTCGGGTCCACGCAATGGCGCTTTGCTGCCGCTGGTGCTGCGGACAGCAGCAGCAGCAGCAGTGGAGGCCTTGAGCTCCGTAACGAGGGTCTGCTGCTGCTGCTGCTGCTGCTGCTACTGCTGCTGCTACTGGCAACGGCGATGTCCTCGTCTGCGCAGCATGTCCCTCCCTGCGTCTCGATGCCGCGGCAGCTGCTGCTTTGCTGCTGCTGCTGCTGCTTCTGCTGCTGCTGCTGCTGTTGGGCTGCTGCTGTGCGCTGCTTTTGTCTCTCCCTCTTGTTCTTTTTTCTCATCCCTTTCGGTGCCTGAGTGTTCCTGCTGCTTGCAGCCATGACTTTGTGTCTCTGCATGCGTCTTTCGCCACTTTTAGTCTTCAATTTGGGGCCTAAGGGCCTAGGGTTTAGGGTTTAGGGTTTACGGTTTAGGGTTTGGGGTTTATGGTTGGTGCGCAGGACGCCCTGTTTACCTGTGCGCGTTGGCATTTGGTGGTGGAGATGCAGAAACGGCTTTTTGCGACTTTGCTGAGGTAAGGATCGAGGGTTTAGGGTTTAGGGTTTAGGTTTTAGGGCTTAGGGTTTAGGGTTTGGAGGCGGATTGACCCCTGATTTGGCTGCATGGGTGTCTGTACACCTGACCTGCTGCGCGCCCGAGGCGCTGCAGCGCTGTGGTGTCTATGCAGCTGCGGTGTCTGTACACCTGAACTTTTTGCTGCAGACAAGAAGCAGCTTTCTTCGACTCCAACAGCACAGGGACTTTGGCGAGTCGGATCTTGAATGACACGGAAGACATGCAGGCAAGCACTTGTAACTCAAGCGCAGCAGCAAAAGCAGCAGCAGCTGCTGCAGCCGCAGCCGAGGCTGCCTCTTCCTGCCGTGCCCCTCCCCCGCTGCTGTTGCTGCTGCTGCTGCTGTTACTGCTGCTGTTGCTGCGGTTGCTGCAGCAGCATCAGCTGTTGCTGCAGCTGCTGCTGCGACTGCTGCTGCGACTGCTGCAGCAGCATCTGCTGTTGCTGCAGCTGCAGCAGCGACTGCTGCTGCAGCAGCAGCAGCAGTCGCTGCTGCTGCTGCGCGGGTGGGTGCCTGAGGGCGTTGCTGCTGCGTGTGTGTGGGGGCAGCAAGTGGTGACCAGCGGCGCGCAGAAGCTGCTGGCGGCGGTGGTGAACGTCAGCGTCGGGGGGGCCCTCATGTTTTACTTGTCGCCGCAAATGGCTGCGCTGGGAATGCTAGCGGTGCCCTGCGTGTTGCTGGGCACTGGCGGCGCCGCACGCGCTATCGGCAGCCTCGGTCAGCACCGCCCCGGGGGGCCCCTGCTGCTGCTGCTGCTGCTGATGGTGGTGGTGATGCTCCAGATGCTGCAGTTGCTGCTGGAGCTGCGGCGGCGGGTGCTGCTGCGGGGGCTGGTGCTTGTGCTGCTGGTGCTGCTAGTGTTGCTGGTGCTGCTGCTCGTGCTGCTGCGCTGGTGCTGTTGGTGCTGCTGGTGCTGCTGCAGCAGCTGCAGCAGCACCAACAGCTGCTGCTGCTGCTGCAGCACGTGGTGGCAGCTGTTGCTTTGCGTAATTTCTCTCGGCCCTTGCTGCTGCTGTCTTTGCCAATTCAGGTTTGCTGCAAAATGACCTTTTGGCAGACATTTCGGCCATCGCCACGGAAGTCTTGGCGAACGTTCAGACCGTCAAAGCCAACGCAGCAGAAGATATGGAAGTGCAGGTGACCCTCATTGCCCGGCTTTGCATGCATGCATGCATGCATGCGTGCATGCATGCATGCATGCATGCACTGACTGGCCGTGGATGCGCTTTGGGGGCCCGTCCTCTTGCTGCTGTGCCTGCTGCTGCGCCTCAGCAGCTCGCGCACAGCGCCGGTGTTTCTGCATGCATGGACTCTGTTTCGCATGCGTTGTGTGCGCTCTGGAGACTGCATGCAGTCCTTTTTGCATGTATGCATGCCGCGACTTGTGCATGCATGCACCCGGGTTTGCATGCGTTTTGAGGCCTCCTGCATGCGCTTGCCTTCAGCGCTACAGCGCCTGCCAAGACGCCTCTCTGCGGGTGCTGCGGGAAGGAGTTATTGCAGAGTCTTTCTTCAAGCAGGCGAAGCAAATGCTGCTGCTCACCACGGACTTGGGGCTTTTGGCTTTCGGTGGGGCTGCGCGCATGCAAACAACAACTCCCGCGGTGCATGCATACATGCGCCTTCTCCTTCTTCTCTTTTTTGCTGCTGGGACTGCTGCTTCACGCAAATACCACACATCAGTGCCCCTCCACAGAGGGCCTCTCCTCGCTGAGGGCCCAAGCAAGAGGCCCCAGCAGGGGGCCCCAACAGGGGACCCCAGGGGAGGTCCCCGAGAGGCTGGAGCCCCAGGAGGGGGCCCCAGGAAGGGGCCATTGGAGGGTCCCAGCAGTAGCTGCCGCTGCTTGGTGGGTCTTTTGGGCTGCATTGCATGCTCTTTTGCGTGTGTTGGGGCTTGCTGGCTTCAGGCATGCGGTCAGTGGTCAAGGGGAACTTGACCATTGGTCGCTTTATGTCTTTCCGCAGTTATTTGCGGAAGTTCTATTTGGCATTAGACGCCCTCACGGACATCTACAAAGACACCCGCTTTTCGCTGACAGCCTCCAAGCGCTACTTCGATCTCATAGACAGAAAGCCAACTGTTGTTTCGAAAAAACTGCAACAAGAAACCCAAAAGCCCACGGGGGGGGGCCCTCCAGAGTCCCAGGGGGCCCTACAGGGGCCCCCAGACCAGGCAGAGGGCCGGCAAGGGGAGGCCAGGGGCCCCGCACTTGTAGAGTTCAGGAACGTTAGCTTCGCTTATGCTCCAACTTCAGCAGCAGCAACAGCTGCAGCAGCTGCAGCAACTGGAGACGGGAAAGCAGAAGCAGGGGGAAGCCTTGGAGGCCCTCAGGTATTCTTTGCACGATTTCACAGGGTTCGGGGAACTACGCCATCCCCTTCTGCTGGCATTGCTGCTGCTGCTGCTGGCGACTCTGCTGCTGGCGCTACGGTTACTGTTTTTTCTGCTGCTGTTACTGTTGTTGCTGCTGTCGCTGCCGTCACTGCAACGCGAGATACCTAAGCAGGGCGCTGCCGTGGATCGTTGCAAGTCATTCGCCAGACTGACCAGGCGTTCTGCTTGCTGCTGCTGCTGCTCCTTGTGTTTGCTGCTGCTGCTGCTGCTGCTGCTGCTGCAGATCCTGAAGAACCTTTCTCTACGGGTGCCCCGCGGGGAAGTGCTGGCCCTTGTGGGCCCCTCCGGCGCGGGCAAATCGACTCTTGTCAAACTGGCGCAGCGCTTCTATGATCCGCAGGTAGGGAAGCAAATGCAGCACGAGCAGCAGCAGCAACGTGAGCAGCAGCAGCATCAGAAGCAGCAGCAGCATGAGCCGCAGCAGCCGCAACAGCTTCCGCAGCAGTACCAGCCTCCAACTTGCGAACCGCTGCCAGCAGCATTACCTGCATCGTAACTAGCGCGTGCACCACTTGGGCAGCAGCACCGCCGCTTCCAGCCCCAGCAGCAGCAGCAGCAGCAGCAGCAGCACGCTTGCGTGTGTATATTGCAGAGCGGCTCGGTGCTGCTTGACGGCGTGGACTTGCGCGAGATGGACTTGCCCTCAATACGGCGTTCTGTGTCTTATGTGGAGCAAGAGCCTTTGCTGTTTAGAAGAAGCATTGCAGACAACATTGCCTACGGGCTGCGGCCGCTGCAGCACAGCAGCGATGACTGGATGAGGTGCAGCAGCAGCAGCAGGCTGCAGCAGCAACAGAAACGAGGCAAGAGCGACACTCTGACGCAGGCCACGAAACAGCAGCAGCAAGAGTGCCAGCAGCAGCAAGACGGCCAGCAGCAGCAGCGAGAAGGCCAGCAGCAGCAAGAGTGCCTGCAGCGGCAGCAGCAGGAGACGGACTTGTACGAAGCCGAGCTGTCGCGGACTCTGCGCCACCCCGAGGCAGCAGCATGGCCTGCGGGTTTGCTGCAGCAGGTCGTTGCTGCAGCAGCAGCAGCAAATGCGTTGCCCTTCATCAAGCAGCTGGCTGACGGTGTCTTCACTGTCTGCGGCGAAGGCGGAGTTCGGCTTTCGGGAGGTCAGAAGCAAAGAATTGCAGTGGCCCGGTAAGGACAGTTAGCTAGCAGCTAGCTAGACGCGCAGCAGGGCTAGTGGCTAGCTGGCGGGGCCGCAGCTAGCTGCGCAGCATGGCGGCCTGGTGGCTGCTGGCTAGAGTTGCCGCCAGCTAGCTATGAGCTAGCTACCCAGGCAGCAAGCTAGAGCTCTGCTCAGCTAGCTACGCAGCTAGCTAGGCGGCTTCTGCTGCTGCGATTGCCTTGTGCGGAGGATGGATGGCATGGGCCCGCAGCTAGCTGGTGGCTAGCTGATTGCTAGCCGCGTAGCTGCAGGTTCAGCTGGCTGCTGCGTTGCTCCACTGGTGCTGCTGCGCTGTTGCTGCTGTTGCTGCTGCTGCAGGGCGCTGCTACGCAAGCCGCGGCTGCTGATTCTTGACGAGGCCTCCAGCTGCCTCGACGCCGACAGCGAGGCAGCACTAGCGAGCACTTTGAGGCGGCTGAAGGGCCAAACCACTGTCATCACGATTGCACACAAACCCTCAGTAAGGGTTTACGGTTTAGGGTTTAGGGTTTAGCGCCGGTTGGGGGACCAAAAGCGGTGCTTCACTGTTGCTGCTGTTGCTGGCGCGGCGCGTGCAGCTGTCGTTCTCAGGCGAACTCCTAAACACGCGAATTATGGCTTAGGGTTTAGGGTTTGGGGTTTTGCTGCAGAGCCTCAAGGAGGCAGACCGGGTGGTGGTGATAGAAGATGGACAAGTGGCAGCAGAAGGCCCTCGCTCTGAGATGCTCGGAAACAAAAGCTCAAGGCACAGGCAGCTTCTGCTGGACGAGCTGTAAGCCTTGGGCTGGAGCGCGCAGCTGCTGCAGCTGCTGTAGCTGCTACTCGCAGAAGCAGCTGCTGCAGCTGTTATCCGCAGCGGCAGCTGCTGCAGCTGCTAGCCGCAGCAGCAGCTGCTACAGCCAACACCCACTGGCGGGCGCTGCGCGCCGAAAAGAGGCAGCAGCAGCACCTGCTGCAGCCCCTGCATGAGCAGCTGCAGCAGCAGCAGCTGCAGCAGCTGCAATACAAGCTGCAGCAGACGGCCGTTTATTTGTTGGAAGTTTTTAGCTTCAATATGACAACACTTTTTCACTCGTTTTAACTAAATGCACAGGAACAAGCACAGACATGCGCTCGGCTGTACGTACACCTCAGCGCAATGTATGAACAAAATCAAGAGCAGGAAAATGCAAATAAATCATTTTATATAATCTACAGAAACATAATTGAGTGCTCAAGATATATATCTAAACAAGCGAGACTAGTTAGATCCACTTATTCACATTTATTTGTATCCATTTGCTGCATCTCCAGGGATTTGCGCAAGTTCGGACGGGCCTTTTTCCTGAATGACATTTTCACTTTACAAAAATTTATTTCTTTTGTTTTATTTTTATTTTTATTTTGGTTTATTTGGCACTTTTGTAGACTTCATGCAATGAGACAGTGACTGCCAGGAAAGACAACACGGGCAGCAGCAAAGTGGCTGCTGCGACACGGCGCTGCAGCAGCAGCAAAGCCCAGCAGCAGAAAAGTACTCCAGCAGCAGCAAAGTACTCCAGCAGCAGCAAGAGCAGCTGGGGGCTAAAAGGGCTGCAGCACTCGAGTTCCCGCGGCAGTCGCAAGAGAGCAGCAGAGACCTTAGCAGCAGCGGTACCAACAGCAGCAGCAGCAGCACACATTGCAGCATCAGCAGCAGCACCTGTGGCAGCAGCAGCATCAGCAGCTGCTGCTACTGCAGCAGAGAAGCAGCAGTACAGCCGGGGGCAGCAGCGAGCGCAACACCGGGCTACCGGCTCAAGCTGCCCTCCACAACGGAAAGACACTCCTGGATATGGCCACACTGCAGCAGCAGCAGCAGCAGCAGCAGCTGTGACGGCAGACTGAAGCAGCAGCAGCAGCAGCATCAGCTGTGACGGTAGACTGCAGCAGCAGCAAGTAACAGCCCCAGCTGCGGGGCCCCCAGGGCAGTCAGCTCGCTACGCTCTATGCCTTCCCGTGTGAGTCTTTGAATTCATTTCGAATTAAATGCAAAAATTTGAACTTTTAGACAATAAAAAATCAAATTAATAATAGAGAAGACCTAAGCACCTAGAGCTGGCAGACACTCTCGGTGTTTGGCCGGTGGGGTGGGGCCCCAGCCACACGCGCTTGGAGCTGTGTGTGTTCTTTGCTGGCCTATTTCCTTTCGTTTTCGTGTTATATTATTCCTTTGTAATTGCTTTTGTCTTTTTCTTTGACTATAACCCCGAAAACGGCTTCAGCCGCAGCAGCAGCCCAGCAGCAGCAGCAGCAACAGCAGCACCGCGCCTCCCAGCGGACTGCAGCTCGCTAGGCGGACACACGGAGTGCAAAGCTCAGCAGGAAAGTTCAAACTAATAATTAATTAATTGATTTGTAAAGCATTTTAAAGTGCCCCGATCAAAAATTTGAACTCCCAAATCACTCATTTGATTCACCAACGGGTTTCGACTTCGAGTTGACCCGTGGCTACACAGAGGCCCCAGGGGGCCCCCAGCCCCACAGGGAAAGCCCAGGGGGCCCTTTTGGAGCCCTCTGAAGTCCCGGGGGGCCTCTGGGTACTGGGAGGCCCTAAGGGGGCCCCCCATGCGTCAGAGGGCCTCGCCGGTGCCCGTCCATTAGAGAAAACCTTTGCTTTTATTTATCTTCTTTTCATTTTTATTTGAACTTTTTGCTGTTCTGCTGCTGCAGACAAATGCCCCAAAAACGCCAGGCCGCAATCAGCGACTTCTTTGCCCCCAACAAAGAACAGAAAACAGCAGAAGCAGCTTCGAGGGGCCCTCTAAAGGGGGCCCCCCGGGGAGCCCCCAAGGGGCGCCCCCGAGCAGGCCCCTTGAAGCCCGCCAAGAGGGCCCCCCAGGGGGCCCCCGAGGTGACTGAAGTTTTGTCGGATAGCAGTGAAGGAGAAAACCACAACCCCACCAAGCTACAACCCACAGCTGGAGCTGAGGAAGAAGCAAAGCAGCAGCAGCAGCAGCAGCAGAAGCAGCTGGTGCCAAAGGCAGCACAAGAGCAGCAAGAGAAGCAGCACTCGCAGCCACAGGCCACAGCAGCAGGTGCGGGTACAGTGAAAAGTAAAGCTACAGCAGCAGCAGCAGCAGGAGTGCCGAATGCAGCAGCAGATGCAGCAGCAACAGCATCGGCAGCGTCAGACATAACTGCAGCAGAAACGGTGTCAGTAGCAGAAGCAGCCGCAGCTTCTCCATCAGCAGCAAGCGAACCAGCAGCCACCGCAGCAGCAACAGCAGAAGCAGCTGCGGAGACAAGCTCAGCAGCAGCAGCAGCAGCAGCAACAGGAGCAGCAGGTGCTGCTGCTTCAGCAGTGTCACCTTTTGGCACTTTTGTTTCAACAGCAGCTGCAGAAAAGATGTGGAGAGAGGCCATGGGAGACAGCTGGTAGGCCAAAATAGCGAAGCCCTGCCGCTGCTGGTACTGGTTGCTGCTGCTGCACAGCAGCAGCAGCCGCAGGCAGCAAACCAGGGGGAACCAAAGCGAGCAGCAGCAGCAGCAGCAGCAACACATCCAGCTGCAGGGCTCCCGTTCGCTTGAGTAAAGCGACACGGCACGCAGCAGCAGCAGCCCACCACAGCCAGCAGCAGCAGCAGCAGCAGCAGCAGCAGCAGGTGCGGCTGTGCGGGCGCAGGTACGAAGCTTTGCAGGGGGAGCTGCAGAAGCCCTATTTCAGGAAATGTCTGTTGGCAGTAAAAGAACAAAGAGAGAAATTTCCTTCTTCGATTTATCCTCCTCAAGAGTTGATGTTTAAAGCTTTTCGGTCCACGCCGTGCGTCTGCTGCTGCTCTTGCTGCTGCTGCTCTTGCTGCTGCTGCTCTGGCTGCTGCTCCTTTTGCTGCTGCTCTTCCCCCTTGTGCTTTTGCTGCTGCTCTCTCCCGTTGTGCCTTTGCTGCTGCTGTTTTCCCGTTGCCTCCGCCTTTTGCTGCTATTCTTTGCTACCTTTAGCTTCATGTCGTCGGGCTGCTGCTGCTGCTGCTGCTGCTACTGCTGCTGCTGCTGGTGTGCTTTGTCCCTCTAGTGCGTCTTCTTGCTGTTGCTGCTGCTGCTTCGTGGCGTCGACTTTGTCCCCTGTTGAAGCTTTGTTTCTGTCTCCTTATTTGCTTGCTGCTGCTGCTACTGTTGTTGTTGCTGCTGCTGCTGCCGTTGTTGTTGTTGCTGCTGCTGCTGCTGTTGTTGTTGTTGCTGCTGCTGCAGGTTGGACAAAGTCAAAGTCGTTATCGTGGGACAGGACCCTTACCACCAACCTGGCCAGGCCATGGCAAGTTCTGCACGTTGCACCCTAATCCCTAAACCCTATGCCCTAAACCCTAAACGCTAAACCCTTGCAGCGAGAGCCTGATTTGCCTTTGCTGCTTCTGTCCTTTTGCTGCTTCTTTTTTGTTCCCTCTTTTAGGGTTTGTGTTTTTCAGTGCCCCGCGGAGTGCGGCCTCCACCAAGCCTTACAAACATCTTTAAGGAAATTGGTTCGTTGCTAGGGTTTAGGGTTTAGGGTTTAGGGTTTGGGACATGTTTTGAATTTAGGGTTTAGGGTTTGGGGAGTTTTTAAACGTTAATTGGCAGCAAGCGCGGCAGCAGGGCTTCAGCTCCTTTCAGCTGCTGCTCCGGGGGGTACGTACAGCTGAGACGTTTTTGAGAGTTTTCTGATTTGTTTTCATTTGTTTATTTAAATGCTTTTTAATGCCTTTTTAATGGGGACTTGGCAGAGAAGGCCCGAGCAGGCAGAAGCAACAAACCTCGATACGCATGCAAACTGCAGCAGCTGCTGCGCTGCTGCGCTGCTGACTGCTGCGCTGCTGCTGCTGCTGCTGCTGCTGCTGCTGCGCAGACCGCAGCATTCCGGGGCCCCCCAGCTTGCCGCTGGCCCACGGGGACTTGAGCTCGTGGGCAGCTCAGGGCGTTTTGCTGCTAAATGCAATTCTGACAGTCAAGCGGGACAGCCCCATGTCCCACAAGGACTTGGTGAGAAAAGTTGCACAAGTCCGGCTGCTGCATGCAACTCGCCAGCTTTCCTGCATGCATGCAACGAAAGAAGTAAAAGTAAATTGCGAAAATTCATCTAAATTGAAAATGAAATGCTATTTTGGGGCTTCGTGTTGAGCTGAACAGCGGGAGAAACTGCGGGTGGTGTACGTACACCGAAAGTGCAGCAATTGCTCAGAGTCTGCATGCAAATAAATGCTCATTCATTTTCTTGAATGTACACTTATTGTTCATTATCGCCTGTTCTGCATGCATTTGTTCTCGAGTTTTGCACACAATTCGTATTCGTCCGGAAGAGGCAGCCTGCTCATTCTAAACCCTAAACTCTAAACCCTAAACCGTAACAAACACATGGGCAGCAACTGCACCTCGTCAGCAGGTGGAAGGGTCTAGGCATAACCCTAAACGCTAAACTCTAGACCCTAAACCCTAGAAAGTTGACCTCTCCTGTCTTTTTTGCGCAGGGCTGGGAGCGGTTTACTGACGAGGTCTTGGCCGTTGTGAACAAAACACTCGAGGGTGTGGTGTTCCTTCTTTGGGGTAAATGCAATTTCAACTTGTCCTTTTCTCTAGGGTTTAGGGTTTCCGTTCGCCCTAGGGTTTAGGGTTTAGTGCGCCCAAGAGCACTCCGCAGCTAGCTGACTGGTCGGCTACCTACGCAGCTCGCCGGCTCACTAGCTAAGTAGCTAGCTAGTTAGCTAGCCAGCTAGCCGGCTAGCTAGCTAGCTAGCTAGCCGTTTGCTTTTTTGTTTATTTGCAACAGGAAAAGCTGCACAGAAGAAGTCTTCGGGTGTATCTCCACTGCGACACAAGCTGCTGAAGGCCGGCCACCCTTCGCCTTTGGCTGTGCGGCTCTTTACAGGTGGGCGGTGGGCTGTCAATTCAAAAGTACTTTTTGGATTATTTTATGTCTTAAATTGCATTTGAAATTCAAATTGGAAACACTTTTAATAAATTCAGACTAAAACAACTTTGTTCCCAACAAAAGAGCTGCCTCCCGGGCCGTCCTGCTGCTGCTGCTGCCGCTGGCTACAATGCAGGCTGCGGCCACTTCGCCAAGTGCAACGAGCTGCTGCAGCAAATGGGAAAGCAGCCCATAGACTTCCGGCTGCAGCCCTAGCGAGTCGCTGGGCATCAGGAAGCAGAAGCAACAGCAGCAACTTTTCGTTTGCTTCTTGCGCGTTTGTTAATGACCAGTTGTTTACTTTTCATTTATTTGTTCACAGACACAAGAAGAACCAGCAGCAACCAACGCTGCGGGGCAGGGCCACGCAGGCCAGCTAGCCTGAGGTAGCTAGCTAGCTAGCTAACCACCTAGGTAGCTGGCTAGGTAGTTAGCAGGCTAGCTAGGTAGCTAGCTGCGTAGCTATCCGGCTAGCTAGCTAGCTGCCAGCTAGCCAGGCATTGAGGAGGTTTGACGAGTGCGCTGCCGCACTTGGACGCGAGCCAGCTAAGGGTTCCACTAGCTAGCCACACAGCTAGCTAGCTGGGGAGTTCGCCCGCTAGCCACGTAGCTAGCTAGCTAGCGGGTCCTCTCGCTAGCCACATAGCTAGCTAGCTAGCGGGTCCCCTCGCTAGCTACATAGCTAGCTAGAGGAAGTCTACTCGCTTGCCGCACAGCCAGCTAGCTAGGGAGGTGAGCCGCTCGCCTGCGAGCTAGCGCGCCTCCCTCCAGCTCGCTAGCTAGCCCTTTGGCTAGCTGGTCCCTGGCTGGCCCGCCTTTGGCGAGCCAGCCCATGGCTTGCTAGCTTAGGCTAGCTAGCTAGCGATTCCTGCTAGACGGCCGCCTCATCATGCGAATCCTGTGGACAGCCAGCTAGCCCTTTGCTAGCTGCCTGTGGCCACCTAGCTAACCGCTGGCTATCCGTCTGTGGCTCGCCAGCTAGCCCTTGGCTAGCTGGCTGTGGCTAGCTAGCCAGCCCTTAACCCGTGGCCAGCTAGCTAGCCCTTGCCTACCTACGCCGCCCTAGCGGCTAGCCATCTGGCCGGTTCCTATCTACCTCGCCGCTGCTCTCTACCTGGCCGTGGCTAGCTAGCTAGCCCCTCCCCAGCCAGCCCTCCCCAGCAGCCGCCCAGCTAGCTGGCCAACTAGCCAGCCAGCCAGCCAGCCAGCTAGCTAGCCAGCTCCCCAGCCAGCCAGCCAGCCAGCTAGCTAGCTAGTTAGCTGGCTGCGTCCGCCCGGTCGCAGGCGCCGGTGGGCGCAGCAGGCCGGAGGCGCAGCAGGCTGGGGTCGGCCTGGGGCGGGACCTCGACCCAGCGAAAGCGCTGCATGCAGAGCTGCAGCAGTTTGGGGCTGCCGGCGGAGTAGACGTAAAGCGAAGGCAGCAAAAACATCAGCGACACGAAGAAGACCTGCAGCCGCCGCTCTGCTGCTGCAGCGGCGCTCACGCGCCCGTAGCCGCTGCGGAAAAACGAACGCCGACTCACCGAACGCGCCAACATCGCCGCTGCTGCTGCTGCTGCTGCTGGTGCTGTGTGTCTTGCTGCTGCGGCTGCTGTGTCTGTTGCTGTTGGTGCTGCTGCTGCGGCTGCTGTGTCTGTTGTCGTTGGTGTTGCTGCTGCTGCTGCTGTGTCTGTTGCTGTTGGTGCTGCTGCTGCTGCTGCTGTGTCTGTTGCTGCTGCGTCTGTGTCCGTTGCTGCTGCTGCTGCTGCCGCGGTTGCTGCTGTTCTTTCTGCTGCTCTTAGTGCAGCCGGGGTCTGTGGTTTGGTATTTAGGGCTCTACGGTTTGGGGTTTGGGGTTTCCTGTGCAGTTTCTGCTGTTGCTGCTGAAGATGCGGGTGCAGCGGCTTGGGCTGCTGTGGCGAGCCGCTGGCCGAACTGCCGGAGTTCTGCTGCTGCGCAATGCAGTCGATTCAGTTGACTGCTGCTGCTGCTGCTGCAAACATTGCGCTCGACGCTGCTGCTGGAGGCCAAGACACAACAGCATAGCGACTGGCTGCTGCTCCTGCGAGGCCCCCACAGATCCTGCAACAGCGCCGCCTTTTGCTGCAGCTGCTACACTTCCGATTCACGAAGATGATGCTGTTGCTGCAGTTTTCGCTGCTCCAGCAGCGGCTGCTGGCCCTGCTGCCGTTGCTGCTACTGGCGAAGCAGCAAAATTCAACGGGCCCTGCGCCCCGACAAGATATGTCTGCAGAGGCTCACTCGGGATACTCCGGAGCTGCAGCAGCAGCAGCAGCCAGCAATTCACAAAAAAAGAGAAAAGAATTAACTGTTAATTCCACTTCCGAAATCGCTGCAGCAAGGGTCAGCAGGGGCTGGGACATGCAGTCAGCGCACAGGGAGCTGCTGCTGCGGGCAGCGGGGCCCCCTGTATCATAGTGCCCCGGATTTGGGGTTTAGGGGTCAAAATATTGGCGAACAAGACTTGAAAAATAAGGTTTATTAATTAGAAAGATCATTTAGGGCAGCTAGTGCAGCGGGCGCAGCATCAACGCAGCAGCAGCTGGAGCAGCACTAGCTGATGCGCTGCTACTGCGGGCGGACTGGCGCTGCGGTCACTGCATCGCTCTCTGAGCAGCGACAGCAGCAGGAGCAGCAGCTACAGCAAGAGCCACTGCAGCAAAAGAAAAGCTTCTCCTTTAGAATTTATTAATATTTAAGTCATATTTGTTTCGCTGCTGAAATCGTCGCTTATTTTTTGTCCGCCGCTGGCCTGCCAGTCCTACTGCAACATGAGAGCAGCAAAGCCCAACAGCCAACAGCAGCACCCCTGCTGCCAGCAGGGGTGGAGCACTGAAAGCTCCCGACTGCAGCTGCATCAACAGCTGTAGCAGCCGCAAACAGCGGCGCCAGCAGCAGCAGCTGCGGCCGTAGTAGCTGCTGCAGCACTACCCCCAGCACCCCGGCACAGGCAGCTGCGGCTCCAGCCGCAGCAGCTTCGGCTGTTGCAGCTCAAGCAGCAGCGGCGGTGGCGCAGGCTGGGGCAGCAAAACTTTTTGCTTTCCTCGTCACCCCCGCTACCTCCAGTGGCAGCTTGGGTCTTTCCGCCTCACCCCTAGAAGCGCTGCAGCAGCAGCAGAACTGCAGCAGCAGGACTGCAGCAGCCGCAGAACTGCAGCAGCAGGACCGCAGAAGCAGCGCTGCAGCTTCAAGGCCACAGGAAACGCAGAGGCGCTGCAGCCCCCAGCAGCAGCAACGCAGGCGCAGCAGCTGCCTTCGAGTTTCCTCGGCACAAGAGCAAGAAGGAGTAGCAGCAGCAGCAGAAAGATACAGTCCAACTGCGAGGATGGTCACCGCTGTGATGTCTTCAGGGGCGTCAGCGACAGCAGGAACGACTCCGCGAGCAGCAGCAGCAGAGGCAACAGCTGCTGCTGCTGCTGCTGTTGCTGCCACACCCCCAACGTTGCTGCTGCGCACGGCTTCGGCCACTACTGTACCGCCCCTGGCTTCACTTAGACTCGTACGGAGCCACAGCAGCAGCGACTGCAGCAGCAGCAGCAGCAACGGCAGCAGCACGCGGAACAACATTGTCAGCAGCGACTGTAGTGACGGCAATGAGTCGCCTAGACCTGCTGCAGCTTCTGCTGCTGCTTCTGCTCCAGCAGCATTGGCAGGAACATCCCTTTTCTTGAGAAGCTTTACTTTTGACAGCAGCGCTGCCATCGGCAGCAGCAGCAGCAGCAGCTGCAGCAGGCAGCGGGTGGCTTCTTCCTCAGCAGCAGCTGCTGTCCGCATCAGCGAGCGGCGGCTGCGGGGCAGCGAGCTACCTTCTGAGAGCAGCAGCACAGCAGCAGGAGCAGCAGCAGCAGCGCAGCTGCAGCAGTTTGCTGCTGCTTGGTGGGCGCTGCCCTCGGTGGACACCCTCTGCAGCAGCAGCAGCAGCAGCACGGCCATTTGCTCGTCGCTGGACAAAGCAGTTGCTGCTGCTCTCTTTCCCACGAACCCGCCGCTGCGGCTGCAGCCCCTCCTTTCTGAAGAGCAACAGCAGCAGCAGCAGCAGCAGCAGCACCTGCTGCTGGAGGCTGCTGTTGCCAGGGAAATGCGAGACACGCTGCCCGCTATGTATCGGCAGCGGCAGCAGCAGCTGCATGCTCTCGCGCTGCTGCAGCCTGAGGCGTACCGACAGTGCAAGGGCCTCCAAGCAGCAGCTCAAATCTATAAAGAAAGTCTGGCTCTGCTGCAGCAACTATTTGAGCCCCAGCAGCAGCAGCAACAGCAAGAGCAGCAGCAGCAGGCCGCGGCCGCTGCTGCTCCCGCCGCTGCAACATGTGCAGCAGCGGCAACAATGGGAGCTGCGGGAGCGGCAGCAGCAGCAACAGGAGCACCAGACACGGGGCGGCCGCCAGCAGCAGTTGCTGCAGCTCAGCAGGAGCAGCAGCAGCAAGCAGGAGCCGCACCAGAAGCAGCAGCAGCAGTAATACCTA